TGTAGACACCCATTCAAGACTCAACTCGACATCTTTTTTGCTTTTTTTTTATTTTTTATTTTTTGGTTAAAATTTTGATCAAAGTCCTCTAAGTAGATGCTCAACGACTTTGAGTAAAATAAATAAAGCTCCTCTAAACAGAGGCTTAACAACTTAAAAAAAAATAACTCCCTCTAAACAGAGGTAATGAACTTTGAAAAATAAATTGCTCATCTAAACAGACGCACCACAACTTTAAAAAATAAATGGCTCATCGACAATCACGTCTAGAGGAGTCAAAAATCATGTTTGAAGGAACTTTAGGAGATTATGCCAAAGGGTCTTACAAATCGTTTCGATACCAAAAGATATCATTTTCCAAGGATTAAAAACTTACCTTACAAGCGTTTTCTCAAATAAGAATTTGAAAAAAAATCTTCACATCTGTCTTCTGTATGTGGGATCCTAGAATACCTATGCTTCTTGAATTTATGCACTATGCTTTCTTGAATGTAGTATATGCTATGCAATGCGCATGAGATTTAATGCATGCTATGTAAATGTTGGCTAATTAATTCCTATTCAATTGTGGTACTCAAGTTTCTCAAGCTCTTTTCTTAGGCCTCGAACCTTTTGTTCTTCAAAAACCAAGTCAGCGTAACTCTTAATCATCTCTTTCATTTAATTCTCATATCCTTTCTGCAAGCAATCTCTTTCCAAATTCAATATCCTTATCAAAAACTGAACATCTCAAATTTACCTTTATCACTCTTGCTCATTTCCAATGTAATGTAAAAATATTTCATGTTATTAATTATTTATCAATCATTATTTCAATATCAAAAAGTAAGAATATATTCACACATTTCTTCCATTGCAAGGTATTAATGAGAAAAGAATAAGAATGGTTAGGAAATAATGAACAGAAGAGGCACACAAAGAATGAAGAAAAATGTCTTTTATTAGCAAAAAGATTGGCAAACTTTGGCCAAAAAGAAATTACAAAGATAGGTATGGGGAGACAATGCCAAAAAATAAACAGTCAGACAATCATGATAACACATCTTAAGGTTCTTCTGAAAACTCAATCATCTGATGCACTTAACAATTTAGAGCTCTTTCGAATTTGCTAGCCTCCATGCCAATGAATTTTTAGATTTGATGCTGTATTCTCTTTATCTAAGCTATCTTTTTAGGTTTTCAACTTAGATAAATCCTCTATGACTCAAACCGTCATTTTAGGTTTTTCATCTTGAGTCATCCTTTTTCATTCCCTTTTTTTTTTCTTTTTTTACTTTTTTTAAGCATAGTACTTCTTCATAGCATCAAAATTTATAGGATAGGGTAAATTATTTTCATCCATCTTAGCCAGTATTAATGTTTCACCTTAGAAAACCCGTTTCGCCACATATGACCCTTCTCAATTTAGAGTCTATTTTCCTCTAGTATCGTGCTGATTTGAAAGAATTCTTTTCAAGATCAACTATTCTTCTCGAAAGTAACGAGATCAAACTTTTTTGTCATCAGCTCTCATTATCCTTCTTTGATATAGCTGATCATGGCACAATGCAGTCAACCTCTTTTATTCAATAAAATTTAACTATTCATAGCACTCTCGAACCCATTCAGCCTCCTTTAATTTAACTTTTCTCAGAACCCTTAAGGATGAGATATCTACTTCTATTGGTAATACAGCTTCCATCTCATAAACAAAAAAAAATGGAGTTACCTCAGTAGAGGTGCGCACTATCGTTCGATATGCATGCAATGCAAATGATAACTTCTCATGCTAGTTTTTATAGGTTTCGATCATCTTCTTAAGAATTTTTTTTATATTTTTGTTAGCTGCCTCAACTGTCTCATTCATTTTTGAACGATATGATGCTAAGTTATGATGCTTGATCTTGTATTAGGCACATATTTCTTGCATCATCTTGCTGTTTAGATTCTTAACATTGTTCGAAATGATTCTTTTTAAAAGTTCATATATGCAGATGATCTCTTTTGTTATGAACTTACAAACTACATATTGTGTTACATTTGCATATGATACTACCTCCACCCATTTCATCAAGTAATATATCATCACAAAAATAAATCTACGTCCATTAGAAGCCTTTGGGGTAATAGGACCAATGACATCCATGCTTCACATCGAGAATGGTCGGGGTGGTACCAAAACATATAGAGTAAATGGTAGAGCATAGATCTTATCAGCATAGATCTAGTATTTATGATATTTACGAGCATAATCAATGCAATCACTTTTCATTATCAACCAATAGTATCCTATTTTCATGATCTGTCTTGCCATCATATGTCTATTGGTATGTGCCTCACATATCCCATCATACACCTTTTCAATAATTCTTTTTACCTCAGCTTTACTTACGCATCTCAGCAATACCTGATCATGACTTTTTTGTACAGAATATTTTCATCCAAAAAAAAACTCATAGCTAATCTTCGGATGATCCTTTTATCATTTTTCGTTACTTGGATTGGGTATTGCTGGTTCTTAATGTACTGTAAAATATCATAATATCAGGGCTTCTCATTCTCCTCTTCTCCTACATTGAAGTAGTGAGCTAGCATATTTTTGACATCTAACTTGATAGATTGAATGTCAGTATTATCACTAATTCAGATTATTACAGTCAAAGTAGCCAAGGCATCAACTATCAGATTCTTCTCTCGAGGTAAATGATCAAACTGAACATCTTTAAATTATTTTATCAACTCTAAAATATACTTACGATATGAAACAAGTTTTGAATCTCTTGTCTCCCATTCTCCTTTCAATTGATATATAACTAGAGTTGAGTCTCCAAACACTTTTAGTGCTTTAACTTTCCTATCTATAGCAGCTTGTAAACCCATGACACATGACTCATATTCAGCGATGTTATTTGTGCAATTAAAATTTAACCTCGCTATTATAGGGTAGTATTATTTTTCTAGAAAAATCAAAATTACCCAAATTCCATGTCCTAAGGCATTGACAGTTCTATCAAAATATATCTTCCAACACTTTTCTTCATGCTCCTCTTTCTCTAATTGAGAAATAGTCATTAGGTCTTTATCGAAAAACTCCAATCTCATTAGTTCATATTCTTTAGTAGCACGATCTGTAAGAAACTCAGTTATTATACTTGCTTTTATTACCTTTTGGCTTATATATATGATATCATATTCTGAAAGCATTACTTGCCACCTAGCAATTCTTTCAGACAAAGAAGACTTTTCAAAAATGTATTTAATTAGATCCAATTTTGCTATAAGTTAAGTGGTGTGATAGAGCATGTATTGTCTGAGTCTTTTAGCAGTCCAAGCTAATGCACAACACATTTTCTCCAATGAAAAATACTTGGATTCATATTTTATAAATTTTTTACTCATATAGTAAATAGCTTTCTCCTTTTGACTATATTAATCTTGCTGCCCCAGTATACATTTTATTGAATTTTTGCACACTGTTAGGTACAAAATTAAGGGTTTTCCTAAAACAAGTGACACCAACATTGAAAGATTTGATAAGTATTGCTTAATTTTATAAAAAACCATTTGACATTCTTTATTCCATTCTCCAGGATTATTCTTACGGAGAAGCTTCAAAATGGGATCATATTTATAAGTAAGCTGAGATATGAACCGTGAGATGTAGTTCAATCTTTTCAAAAAACTTCAAACTTCTTTTGGTAGACTCAGAGGTGACAAATTTTGAATGGCTCGTATTTTATCTGAATCGACTTCAATCTCTTTTTTACTGATCATAAAGCCTAGCAACTTTTCTGACTTTACCCCAAATGTGTACTTGACAGGTTCAACTTGAGTTAAAATTTTTTTAACCTCTCAAATAACTTTTTGAGGTTGATGACATGATCTTCATTTTCACGAGATTTTGTAATCATATCATCCATATATACCTCAATTTTTTTATGCATCATGTCATGGAAAAACATCACCATGGCTTTTTGGTATGTTACCCTAGCATTCTTTAACCTAAAAGGCATGACTTTGTAGCAAAAGTTCTTCATATGGTCATAAAAGTGATATTCTTCATATCATCTGCAGTCATTTTTATCTGATTATATCCTGAAAACCCATCCATAAAGTAGAACATTGAATGCTTTACTGTGTTATCTACCAGCGTATCAATATGAGGTAAAAAAAGTTATCTTTTAGGCTAGCTCTATTCAAATCACGATAGTCTACACACATTCATATCTTTTCATCTTTTTTAAAAATTGATAATGTATTGGCTATCCATTCTGGATACTTAGCCACTTGCAATAAACCTGCATCAAACTATTTTTTCACTTTTTTTTATTTTTAGTAGTATTTCGGGTTTCATTCACCTTAGTTTCTGCTGCTGCATCAAACTATTTTTTCACTTCTTTTTTGATCTTTAGTAGCATTTCAGATTTTATTCACCTTAGTTTCTATTGGACTAGCTTACATTTCAATTTCAGAGGTAATCTATGCTCTACTATCTCTGTACTTAGCCTTGACATATCTTGGTAAGATCAAGCAAACACATCTATGAATTCGTGAAATAAATCTTTCAAACGTTGCCTATCTTTTGACAATAGTAAAGTATCTATTCTGACCTATTTCTTATTATCCTCATCTCTTAAATTCACTAAGTCAGTTATTTCTTGATGAGGCTCAATTGACTTACTTTCTTGTTCAATCAGTCTCATTAGGTTTGGAGGTATAACATACTCTTCATAATCATCTTCATTATCAAATTCATTAGTGTTAATTAAATTCTCAAAATTAACCTCTTGAATGTTATCATAATTATCTTTTTGTTCATTTAAAGACCTGAAATTAAATGAAATAGGATATGTTGACAAGATATGTTTGAGAAATGAAAAAATGACAATAATGAAAGCACAAGAAAAAATGAATGAAAATGTATCCTTCTTAATTTTTATTAAAATAATAAAAGATAAATGGCCTAAATAAGAAAGATCATCCCAATGTCTTGGGTAATAGCTATTGGAATATACAATTACATTGGATTGGTCTCAAGATTAAAAGACATTTCAATGGTATTCCAATTGTTCAGCTCATAATTTGACGGATAAAGATAGACCCACCCTTCTTGTTCAAGCTCCGTTTCATCTTCAATAGCATAGATAGTCAACTGGGTGAATACCTCTTCCATGCTTTGTTTACAATCTTCTTCTTTATTTGGGTACATGAATCTTTCAGGCCTGAAAGTCTCGTATAAGTGTGAGATGATCATTAATCTTACTGTTTTACCTGCTGGTCTTCTTCTAATTTTTTATTTTACTGTTTTATAGCCTAAACTGAGCCTTTCACTGTTATCTACCATTGTTGAGGGCTATCTTATTCTCTGTAAGTTTTTACCCAACCCTACTCTTGGATACGAGCCCTTATTGATGACTTGGCTCATTACTACCTTTGAAAATAGTTGATTTTAAAATTTTTCACCTACAGATTTGACTAATTTAAAAAATCGATAAGAGCATTCAATTGTTTCTTCAGTAGCTTTCATATATGGGGTATTCAATGGCTAAGTCACTAGCATATCTTCCTCTTTAAATACCACTACCAAATTGACCTTTTACATTAAACTTGATTTTTTTGTGTATGGTAGATGGCACAGCACCTGTCATGTGAATCCATGGCCTTCCTAGCAGACAGCTATAAGATGTAGAGATGTCCATCACTTGAAACTTCACATTAAAAGTGCATGGCCCAATTTACAAAGGCATTTCGATATCTTTCAAGACTTTCTTTTTGGTCTCATCAAAAGCTCGCATGACCATTTGACTGTCCTTCATATATGAGTAATCGATAGGTAGCCTTGTCAAAGTTGACATGGTAAGACGTTGATAGCGGAGCCATTATCAATAAGGACTTTAGCCATGATATGGCTCTTGCACTTGACTGTGATATACAGAGCCTTGGCATTTCTCTTTCCTTCTGGAAAAATTTCATCATCACTTAATGAAATGTAATTTAGCATGATTAGATTTTCAGCTAAGTGGTTCATATATTCAACAGATACATTATATGCCACATATGCCTGATTTGACACTTTCAACAAGGTATTTCGATGTGATTTTGAGTTTAACAACAATGATAATAATGAGATTTTTATTGGCATTTTGTTCAACTATTCAACAACTGAATATTCACTATGTTTTACTAGCTTTAAAAATTCACATGCTTTTTTTTTTACACTGACTTTGGAGGATCCTCCCCAGGTTCCACTTCTAGATTATTTCACTCTTTACCTATCTTGGCCTTTTCTTTTCTTGCCTTCTTCAGCATTTTTAAAGTGTAGCATCTTTCACTTTAGGTGATGCCCTCTACACCTATTATGTTAGAGGCCTCAGTCTTAAAGGCATTCTCTTTTTGCCCCTGAACTATTGTATCACAGCTATATTTACAGGGTATAGCTTTATCATCTTTATATGGGAATGAAGCTGGGACTTTAAAAGTTATCGGCCTTGGAATAAGTTTGTCTATGATTGATTTTGACTTGTTCTCACAGTGAATTGTTACTGGCTTTGAAAATAATTTTACAGACTTATCAATCATGGATACTTTAACACTCTTTAAAACTTTTTTCTTTTCATAGACTTTCAGCTAGTATGAATCCAAGAACTTTTGTACCTCTTGGTGAAACTACTTATAAGTTTCGATAGGGTGACCAATTGCCTCATTATGATATTTACAACTAGTGCTTGCTACATATGCTCCATGATAACTGTACAGACTCATTAGTTGTATTATGTTAGCTTTTCATAAAACATCAAACAGTTGATTAAGAGGAGTCTTAATATCTGTAATTTTTTCTTCATATGACACTCATGTTCGTTATTTAAGGTATTTACATTATGATTAGGCAAATGATTACCACTAATATTTGGTGCAGTTACCCCTTTTGTATCAAAGCTAATCATTTCTTCCTTGATTAGCCATTACACTTTGTGTTTCAAGGTATTGCAACTTTCAATGGAATGACCAGCAATCCCATAATGATAGTCACAATAGGCTATGGGATCATACCACTTAGGGTAAGGTGACTTGAGTGACTCTAATTTACTATGAGTAATTAGATGACTATTGTAAAGCTCACAATATAATTCTATAAGTCATAAGAATCGAGTCAAATACAAGCTTTTCGTGAGTAATTCATTGCTCCCGTGAACCACCAATTGAGCTAGCTAGATGGGTCTGAGGTCTTGAGGTAGGTTGAGTGTTAGGACTGTATGTAGTATTTTGAAGCCTAAAAGAGGGTTGATATGTTTAGGGATAAGAGGATTATGAGATTGGTTGGTATGAGTAAGGAGAAGTATTATTCACAAAAGGGTAATATGGAGGGTATCCTTGTGGCGGGTAGGGTTGATAACCTTTGAATTATTATCTATCAAAGCTCACAGCTTGAGCTTCAGTCTCTTTCTTCTTTGAGGCTCTTTTGTTGGATGCTTCACCTCTTTTCAACTTGTCATTTTTTATAGTACTCTTAATAATTTTTCTTGAAATCACCATGTCAGTGAAATTTTTGATTACATTCCCTATCATCTTTTCATAATAGAAAGATTTCAAAGTGCTGACAAATAGCACTGTAATCTCTTTCTCAGTCAGAAAAGGTTACACTTGAGAAGCTACATCTCTCCATCTTTGGACGTATTCCTTAAAAGACTCATTTGCCTTTTTTTTCATGTTCTATAAAGACAAACGTTCGGGAGCTAAGTCCATGATATGTCGATATTGACTGATGAAATCATGAGTCATATCGTTTCAAGAACAGATGCGGGTTCTATCTAACTAGACATACCACCTAGCAGCAAAGCCAATAAGGCTATCTTGGAAGACATGCATTAATAGCTTTTCATTGTGAGCATGGGCTATCATTTTCTAATAGTACATGGTAATATGAGTCTTCGGGTATTTTGTATCATCATAGTTTTAAAATTTTGGTACTTTGAACTTGGGTGGAATAATCACATCTGGGACTAAACATAGCCCAGTAATATCAACAGAACCGTAAAACCTAATTCTTTCTATAGTTCGTAACTTTTGTTCAAGCATACTAATATTCGAATTTTTTTGAGATTTCACCACCTTTGCCTTTTTTTTTCCTTTTTTTTCAAGTCATCCAAATCAAAAACTTAGATCGATTCTACTATATTTTCAGTAAAAATAGGATTTACATAGCTATGGTAATGCCCTAAGTTTGAAAGTGATGGCATTTCAAGGTATACAGATATGTGAACTGCTGTGATGGTATATCCTGTGTGGATTGGGCTTGTTGTGAACCAAAACCTGAAGGATATAAAGGGTCAGCCACTTCTTGTGATGGGGGGCTTTGTTAGCTTGTATTTTTTTCTATTCTTTTTCCATTGTTTAGCTTGTTAAGAGCATCCAGAATCTTGCTCAACTCATTCTCAATCTTTTCCTATGCTTTTTTCAGTTTTTCAAATCGATAAGAGTTTTCTTGCTCTATTTGTCTAGCTCTAGCTCTTGTGTTATATCAGTGGGTGAGGTTCTTACTAGATGGAACTATCTTTAAACCTTAAATATCATATCTTAAAATTAGCAAGTTTATATGACTATCTTATGGTTACTTTGTTAAATGTAATAAATGAGGATGCAATGAATGAAAATACATGTATGCAAAGAATAATTACTTTAGAACAATGCTCAACCAAAAGATTTCATTTATTCCAAAGAACTTTCATTTACATAGAGTTTATCATCCTAGAGTTATAACCATAAAATCGTTTGATCTGCTCATATTGGGCTCTGACTTTCTCGATGAAGTTTAGAAGACGCTGCCCATATTCTCCTACTGGGGCCATCACTTACTTCAATGCCTCTGCCTCTTCTACCATATCTCTTGTCTTACATACGCCTTTACAAATTTAGGTCGTTAAGTGCTCAATATACTTCTGTCTTTTTAAGTTTTCTCTTTTATCACACCAAACTTGGTATGATAACTCTCTATGCTTTCTAACCAATGTAGCAATGTAGTCTTCTTGTTCATTCAACTTCTATCTCAATCTGTTTAGGTAGCTATTCAACATGTTATTCTTTATCTGTACTTAGGTACTTTTTTTTTCCAATTCAGTATATTCTTATTTCAATCATGCATTCTCTTCAATCAGCTCAACAATTGTTATCTCTTTAGTTTATACCCTCACACACAACCTTTTATGTTCATAGTGTAACTCCGATAAGTCTTTGACAGCCGTGTCACGTTCCCTAGCAATCTTGCAAACTTTGACTTCATGCTTTTCAGCTTTATCTTTTCATTGATCCTTCTCCTTTTCGAAGCTTTTGGATTTTTTACTTTAACTTATCTTTTTCTGACTCAAATTGTTTTGTCGTAAGCTCCAATTTTAATGGTGTCTCTTCAAACTTTTCTCTTGTTGGCGATTGAAAGCTTTCATAAGTGAATACCATTTTTTATCTTCGTCTTACTCTCCAAACCAAGTACCCCTGAGTGACATTATCAGTAAATGGTCCAGGACTCACTCTACGAGGATTTTTTCATGCTTTAATTATCTCATTCATCCTCTAAAATACTTTTGGCTCACTGTAAGAAAAATTCGATTGATGAAGCTCATGTATCATAGGAATGAACTGTTCTATCCCAAACTGTCTTTTTACTAGAAGTGGCACATAACTTGTTGTTCTCCATAAACTCAAAAGTAAGATGACAATGTTATCTCCACACTGATATAGCATAGGTTCTCGATTCATCCATGGGACCAACTATCTTATTTCAGTACTTGTCAATTTTTGTAGGAAAGATATCCATACCTTTTTAGACTTTTGTTTTGACCATCTACTTTCACAAAATTCCTTAATCGGAGCTCGATTACGGACATAAAGATTTGAGAAAACACCTTTTCTCCACTCGAAATGGCTTTTCATCTATAAGTATAATAACCGTACACAACCTATAAAATGCTTTCCATTCCGACGATAATAACTCAAAGATCTGACAGTCTCTGCTAATATTACTGTTGAAGGGTTACAACCATTGATCACACTCTCGAAGAAGTTAATCACTGTTATTTCAATATAACCCAAAACCTTTAAAAATATCACCATTCCATATATAGCTAAGGCAAATACATCTAACCTCCATTCTTCATCGACATGTTGCACTAGAAAATCATGAAAGAATTTTCAAGATAGGCAAACCTGTTCTTGTTTCTTCTTTGTATGTGAACCCACAATCTCTTTGTCTATCCCCATGATATGGGCCAAATCTTTACGAAATCCTGATTTATGTTTTTTGACATATATCTTGTCATGAGCTTTGAGGTGCAAGCCCAATAAAGTCGAATATTTTTTGATGGTTGACGTTATATCAATTTCATTGAAGATGAAACACTTGTATGCAGGATCTCAGAATTATGCTGCAGCTCTAATTAGTTAATTGTCGACACTTACTGCGAGAAGGTGTGCTATATGCCCATGTCTTTGGCAAAACTTCTCTTGTCTAGCTGGGCTCATCTTCTTCCATATATCAACCAAATCCTTTATATTATTTTGTTTGAGGAGGATAGATATTTTTTGAGACATGATAGAATCATAGTCGATTGGTAAACAATCCCTCATCTTTAGTTGAATTTTTTTTTACTTGACTTTTACTTCATTGGGTGGCTCACAAGGGGTTAATACAGATGAAGAGCAAACTAATCGTTCTGTGGAGTCCATGAAACACTTTTTGTTAAAGATCATATTTCAAGCAAATATTCTTTATGCAACTTTATGATATGAGCATGAACCAATGCAAAAGAATGAGAAAAAAGGTTAGTATACCAAATAAGGAGAAATAAATAAATAACTAAGTAAATTAAAATATCACACAGAATAAGAAAAATGAACCCTATGCTTTTGGTCAATTCTAAAGAGAGGGAGATGACTCTATCTATATGTTAGGCATTTTTAAAGTTCACTATATTTGGTGCAAGGTTAAAAGTCTAAAGGTTCCCAAATTGTTCCTTACATCATTATCCATTACAGACTAGTAAGGTACCCCAATCCTCACCAATTACAGATTACAAGCGAAAAAAGTTTAATTTGAGTGAGAGTATTTCGCTAGTCACTACGGAGGCATTAAACATCACGAAAGCAATGGATACTTTACTCTTTCCTAAAGGGATAGAGCTCGAGTATAAAGCTCATGTTATGCACATGCATATGAATGACATAATTAGTAAAGTAAATAAATATGAATATAAAATCTATACAAAAGGTTCAATTTTTTTAGGCTTTGGATAACACGAATTTATTTGTTAGCCTAACTCACAAATGTCCCCAGTGGAGTCACTAAACTGTCATAACGTCTAGATCTGATGATCTATCGTTAGACATTGACTTTAAGAGTCGTTATCAATCTTTTTTATTTAGGTGCGATTGGTCACATAAGGAATCTATCTTTTCAAAGAATACCTAAGCTTGACTAAGGGTCTCTAAAAAAATAAGTTCAGGTTTATTAACCAGAAAGGGTTCATGAGTTCGGTTACGAGTGAGAAAGTTATAGTACCCTCACAACACTCATCGAAAGATGGTATCAGCTCAAATTCGTGTTATCCAATAAACTTTAAAAATTTTACCAAGTAATTAATTATTAAAAATTATTCTTAATTAACTCCAATACTTTTGGTAGAAAATTAAAAAAAATCTCCTCACCTCAAGAGTATGCAAGAAAACTATTGTTTCACTTACAAAAACTTCATCGTCTTATTATTTAACATTTAAAAAAAATTCAAGAAAGAAAATAAAATAAGATAAAACAAAACAAAAAGGAATAATGATTCAACTTTTTGATATAAATCCTTTTTTTATCTTTTTTTTTAAAGAACTCATTGCTTTTGTACAAGCAAAATTGATACTTTCAACTTTTCTTTTAAGCATTTAAAGTTTTTATTTTAAGAAAAATTGGTACTTTCAACTTTTTCCCAAAAATATATATTTTTTTAATTTTGAAATTCTAATTTTGAGAAAAATTGATACTTTCAACTTTTTCTTAAAAATATATTTTTTAAAATCTTTTATTTTTCAGAGAAATTGATACTTTCAACTTTTTCCTAAAAAATATTTTTTGTGTTCAAAGGAAATTGATACAATCAGCTTTTCTTCAAAAATATATTTTTTAAATTTATCTTTAAGAAAAATTGATACTTGTAACTTTTTCTCAAAATATTATTTTTTAAAAATTTTTATTTTTTAGAAAAAAAATTACTGAAAAGAAAGAAAAAATTAAAATTAAAATTAAGATTAAATTAAAGAATACCAAATAATTCTAAATTAAAAAATAATAATAAATAAAATAAAATAAAATAAACCTTGAATCAGCTTGGTTAGAAGAAGAGAAATGACTTAAGAACACGGCTCCAGCAAAATCGACTCGATTTGATTTGATGGTTGAGGCGCGGGTGGAAAGGGGTTGCTTTACGAGTCGGGTTGCTTAAATGGAAAACACACGGATCCTGAGTTTTTTTTAGGCTCAAAACGACGTCGTTTTTCGATATTATAAAAGGTAAATTTCAGCTTTTTTTCAGCAAAATTCTCTTCCTCCTTCTCTCTCTATCCCCTTCAAGAACACTAGTTGAAATATAACCGGATTTTAAAAATTCTCGTCAAAATTTGAATTGTTCGTCGAAATTTCATCGAAAGGTTGATCAGTTTCTAAAAATGATATGTCGAAAACTGGATAATTGATCGAAAAATTCAATCGGTACCAAAAAGATCTTCAAAAAATTCAAATATCGTCAGAAAAATCAATCGAAATCTAAAATTTTCAAAAATTAAAAAAAAAAAGGCCAAAAATTCCCTAAAAAAATTCCTAAAATCCTTAATATTGCTTTTGACCTTTCTAAACATCTTTATGCTTTTCTTTTCTTCCTGTGTGTTCTTTCCCTATATTTTTGAGTTCTGTTTTAATATTTATTTATAGGGATTGATCAGAAGAATTTCTGATGAATCTCAATTTCATTTAGGATTGAGATTTAAACTTTGAATTCAATCCTAACTCTATCAGTTCCTAAATTCATAATCAAATTCATTTTAATTTTTTTTATCCTAATCTTAATCTCAACTGAAAATTGATCAAAAAAAATAAAAAAAAATAGATAAATAGTAAAATATATTAATAGATAACTAAAAAATAATAATAATAATAAATAATTAAATTAAAAATTAAATTAATTTAAAATTAAAAAATAATTTATATTATTTATTTAAATCAAATCTAATTAGTTCGAACTTGAATCAAATTGAATTCCTATTGTTTAGCAAATGGAATCAAAGTGACGGAACAAAGAAAAGAACGAAAGAAAGGTTTTGAGAAAATTCTGGAGGCTGTAATCTAATCCGGATATTGGACTTTCTCAGTTGCAGCTTTAATGGCATTTGGATTTTTCTGCAGTGAAAGAAAAAGGACGGAGATAAACACAAAGTTTTTTTTTTTTTTTTGAAAAAAAAGGCAAACATGTTAAATTTAAGTACATGGTGGAAGAATTACTTCACCAACAAGAAAAAAAAAACGAAAAAGAAAGAAGAAATGCGTTTCGTAGTGTGATAAGAGGCGTGGCAGAGAGAGGTTTATGACAGTTAAAGAACACAAGCTGACTCAGCTTTGTAATAAATCGAAAAAGTAGCTTTTTAGAAGTAATGAAAGCATGGACACTTGTGCGGCGACCCACAGAGAAACTCAAAATGTGAAACTCAAAATGGATTCACAGTCAGCCAGAGACGCAATTACTTTCATCCTTTTCAACCTCCTTCATGGTTAAGGGGGAGACGCCGCTTCTCTCGCCCTTTTCTACCTCCTTCGTAGTTAAGGTTCAACGTTTGATTCAAAATTTTAGCCGACAGCTAATACTTTAGAGAAATAATCGGACGAAATAATTCGATACAAACGAGTGGCGTCAAAATATTTGAAGTTACGATTTAATATAATTTTTATTTTTTTATATAATAATTTTAAAAATATAAAATATAAAATATAATTTGTTATTATTATAATTGTATGAAATAATTATATCATGTTAACAAATACTTTTTTATTTAATTTATCTTATATAATTATATGATTTTTTTTAATAATATGATTTGAATAAAAAAATAATATTAATATAACGAATTATTTCATATAATTTTTTTGAATATTTTACATACATATAATAAATGCATTAGTAGATTTAAAATATGATATTAATAAATTTTTATTTTGAAATTGTATTTTTTTATAAAAAATTAAATTGTATTAAAGCTTCCTTTACATTTGGTTAAATTTATAAATGAAACAAACAACTAAATTAACTGATCAAATAGATTTTTGAATTAATTTCAAACAATTTCAAATATAAATAAAATTCATCAAAAGTCAAAAACTCAAATCATATTCTGAAGCAGTATTATTAACTTTTTTGAACTCATAAACTTTTGTAAAGAGATAAAAAAAAGTGCGTGTAGATAAGAGCAAGGACAAAACTCTGTTCATTTCCCTTATCGGGTGAGAAAAAAAAATGGGCTTTATGTTGTAAAGGGAAAGAATGCAATAAATAAATGGACAGGACATGGCAGTCATTACAGAGTAATCCCCGTAACCTGGACTGCTATTCAAAGTTACAAGCTAAAAAAAATCCCCGTAAAAAATCTAGCAAGCTTTTGCTTTACCGTGCAGCTATAAATACACCAAGCTGGAAGCAGACTTAGGTCTCAGCATAGTAATTCTAGTCTCTTCCTTTGAAACAAACCCAAAAAAAAAAAAAAAATCGTAATTCTGTTCTTCTATTCCTCCCCTCCGAAAATCTGGGTTTCTCTTCTCTTTGTCAGGTTTCTCTGTTTTTATTATTATTTCACTTTCCTTTTGGTTCTACAAGGAAAAGGGACAGTTTTTAGCACCCCTGTTTCCTTCTGAACTTTTCCTCCTATACCTGTGTCGTCTGTTTTGATTTAGACCACTACGAATCAAGGAAAAGATGCAAGAAATTAACCATCCTTTTAGATTCAACAATGATGCCGAAATTGGGTCTTCGCTATCACAGCTCATACTGTCAGGAGGCTCAAATACCTTAGATTCAATCTTCTCTCATTGCGCACCATCAACGACAACATCAACAGCCATTACCACCAACTCTGTTTGCGAGCCATTAGGCTCTTCAGTCTATCTCCACCAGAGAGACCTCCTTCAAAAATTCTGCCAGGAAAACAAAGGAAACGCTTCATTATCGCGCAACTCGCTAACGAATCAGCTTCAAAACTACGGAAACACTGCATCAAGGAGCAACTACTTGAGTCCGCAAAAGAAGAAGCTATACAGGGGCGTGAGGCAGAGACACTGGGGAAAATGGGTAGCCGAAATCCGACTCCCACAAAACAGAATGCGAGTCTGGTTAGGCACTTATGAAACAGCCGAAGCTGCAGCGTATGCCTATGATCGTGCCGCGTATAAGCTTAGAGGGGAATATGCAAGGTTGAATTTCCCAAATCTGAAGGACCCAAGTAAGTTGGGGTCTGTAGATTGTGCTAGGTTGAATGCTCTGAAGAATACGGTAGATGCTAAGATTCAAGCCATTTGTCAAAAGGTGAAAAGAGAGAGAGCTAAAAAGAATGCCAAGAAGGGCAACTCTGATAGTCCTGCTGCTTCTTCTGGACCTGAAAAGGAAGTGAAGGTAACAGAATCATATTCATCGTTATCCCCAGCGGTTTTCAGTGACAATTTAAGCAACGAATTGCTGTCACCAACTCCGTCGGAAGATGGATTTTGGAGATGTGAGAATTCACCATCGGCTGTTTCGAATGATTATCCAATAACGGTAGCAAAGGAGCCACAATTTGAGGAGTGTTTGCTAGCAAGAATGCCATCTTTTGATGCCGAATTGATATGGGAGATTCTTGCTAATTAGAATTACAACTTTCTCATACATTTTTCTCAAAATGAAAACTTTTCAGCAGACAGCTGTTAAAAAATTGAGAAAGATTTCTCCTCTCTTTTTGGTTAAAAGTCTTAATGGAAGTTTTTATTGGCGTTTTTTTAGAAATGAATTGATGTTCTGCTGTTTAATGTTTGGCCTTTGTTTTTGAGGTACTGTCAGTTTGGCCTTCGTTTTTGTATGAAGGCTATAGCAGTTATGAATGTTCTCCTTTTTTTCCCTGGCTGTGGAAGCACTACTTTCACTAGACAAAGGTGTTGTGTAATTGTAATTATGTGGGACCTTGAGGTGGTGATCAGGGTATTTGAGTAATTAAACGAAAATTAAGTACTTAAAATATCCTTATTTCTTATCATGGTTTCTTCCAAAATCGGAAAGCCTCATTTACTGCACGTATTTCATTACCCATGACAGGGGGTTTAAATCAAGCAGGTGAATTTGAGCGAGCGTGGAACAAAACTTATTGGGGAAAGTAGCTAAAAGCATCGATTTGGTTCTCTATCCAATGTAATGGAAAAATAAAGAGGAAGAAAGGGCAAAAGATTGTAGTGAAAACAGCCACGTCTCCTAGTTTATCTATCATGCTCTTCTTCGATGGTGAGAAAGCTGGGAAAAAAGATTGTGGTCCTCATCACACTTCTGTCTACGCGTATATGAGATTTAAAGATGCCTGTTCAGATCAGACGTATTTCACTTATTATTTTTTTATTACAATATTTTAAAATTGTATAATACATGGCTTATAAATATGAACTCTATACATATATATATTTTTTGAAATTACAAGTACAAACAAATAACAATCATAAGTATTATATCGTTGAATAATCAAACCAACAAATTAATCAACAAACTAAAACTTAACTAAACAAATTCAACATAAAAATAATTAAATTCAACATATATAATAAAACTTGAACTTAAAACCTAAACATTTGAAAACTTTCTCTTTGTTGTTAAACCAAGCTTCTTTTACATTTCATATAAAATTTTGATGAATCGTACACAATTTTAAATTATAATTAATTAATTATAATATAATAATTATATGTGATATACTTCCATTCATATTTAGCCCAATTATATTGGCTATGAGTACGACTAGAAGCAAGGATATATAAATTAATATATTCTCAAGACAAGGTAAAATAATTGGAATAACTTATATTTACATTGGTAGTTTAGTTGCAGTCCTAGTTGGGATAGTTCCAAAAAATGTAACTTCATATCAAATACAAGGCCAAGAGAAAATTTTAGTCATCAACTACATATATTGTACATCAGTCAAAAGATGAGCAGATCCTTTGATGATATCATTTAGAAAACACTACCAACTGAGGTTATTCTTTGACTGCTGCAGCTTTGCATTGTAAGAGCTTTCTGTCTCCTCCTTGCAAGATTTTAGCAGAGGCTGTAAAAACGTTGATCTGAAAAACGTGACTGACTCTCCGAGTGAGGTTCTATCCCATTCTGCTATCAACCGAAGAGGATAATATCAAGAAATATAGACATACCAATTGCAGGTGGCATTATAGCTTAATAGGCCAAGTTCATGTCATGTGCAAGAAAGATGACACTACAGCAGCACATACTAACACAAAATAGACCAATCTCGTAAATTAGAACATGTTTATATAAGTCCACTTTCTTGAGAAACGCAGTAAGTTTCCTTTCCAAGGTCTTTCAATTTTTCCCTCAAGATCCAAACAATCTTCTAGTATTTGCAAGTGACTTAACTAAAAGTCTAGGACAATGGACCTAAACATTAGAAGAATAATTAACAGTGCATAAAATAAATATACCGCTCTCGGCATCTTGTCTTAGTCCTCCCTTGTTTAGTTCTTCTAAAAGCTGCAAGGTAAATAAAACCAAAAGAATTATAGGCAGACCTCTCTACAGTGGGGTAACAGCTTACGTAAAACAGCGCATAACATCAAGAACTACCAAGCTAGAATTTACAATAGAATTCTTTTTCTTTGTTGAAGTTTTCACAAACTATAAAAAATTGGAATTGGACATCTTGACAAGTAGAATTTCACAGATAAAAAGCAAATTGAAAGTTGATAGCATACATACCTGGGATAGGGTTGGCACTGTAGTTGGATCAAATTCATCGCAATTGTTTGGGTCAATTGGAACACAAACACGACCTAGAGGAAAAACAAAAAGTTAAAACACATGAGACTACTAAAGTTCATGTAGGGGGTGATAAATTAAGTTTCATCCCTCCTAAGCATCGGAACAGGAGGATAGTCACTATCATGAGGTATTGAGGAGCATGAATGTCAAGATCCAAATAGCAATTAAGGAAAGAAATCCAATAACAGCGCATATTCAAGGTTTAATAGCATAAACACAGCTACTAATAGGACTTCTGGTATCGGAAGCTGTCACTGCGGCACTTTAGCCTTTAGGTTTAAATGTCTTGGTTCTTAAAAGAGAATTCAGATCACACTTTTAGGCACACCACACCAATCTTCACATTTATAACAACTGCTATCTAAAACATAACTTCCAAAACTAACCTGTTTTTGGATGTACACAAAATGGTGCCTTCAGTAAATGGTTCATGTGCTTCGAAACCTGATATACAAAGCACAAACAAGTAGTTTCCTGTGAAGGGTTATGCATAGATATTTTTATGTATAAAAGCTAATTGCTTTCATAAAAGTAATTTTATATGTTAAGTCTGAAATGAAGGCGGATTTACTTCTAAAATCATTACTACATTTGTTGAAAGAGAAAGGAAAAAATGAACCCAAAAACAAAATAAAGCAAAATCAAGAGTACTAGTGTTCTAGACCTCCATATCAAGCCTAGGGTATGTAAAAGAAAAGATGATCTCTTCAACACATCTCCGTAGCCCTTGAACCTGGAAAAGGTGAATTATGCAAAATAATTAAAAGATGAAGTACAATGTACATGAAAAAAAACTCCTCCAGGTAAAACAGATGACATCTGGGTCAAACATATAGTTGATGAACGCATGTCTAATGAGTTAGAAGTTGTGGAAGACAACAATCAAATAGTACTTGAATTTTTGAGAGCAAGGACTAATAAATTGATCTCAACTCATTATTCATTGCTAAGTTTGTCAGAAGTGCACTTTGATTGCGGAGGATAAAATGAAAATATTGAGGTCTGGAGAATCCAGTTACTAACACAAGTCAAGTCAGGCCAGCAGTAGTGGACTCACCCCCTTTATTCTAAAAACTTTAACATGTCATGGAACTGTCACTCTGTGATCTGTTTTATGGAGCTTTAATATCCATCTAAGTCTTAAAATTCTATGATCTGTTTGATGGCCCTAATCAATTTATGGTGGCAATTATATCTTTTACACATGGCAAACTCATTCCAACTCAGTACATTTTAGCATCACTAATAGATTAATGAATCTAACAACAAATTCAAATCATAAAACAAAAAAGGGCATTAAGCATTCAAATATTTGAGTATCACTATTACAGCAATTATATTAAAAACAAATTCAAATCATATGACTGACAAATTGCATTTAGTGTTCAATTTCTATGGCACCTATTCAAACAGAGCAGCCTATGCCATTGTTATGACAAACGTGCTAGACAGATGTCTCCACCGCCCATGATGGATTTAACCTCTAAAGTGTTTGAGCATACCAATCATACCTTTTGTTTACCTGATTGCAGGATATATTTTAGTTGCTCCCATCTAACAACATTAATGTCATCTTTTGACATGGAAGATTGCTTATTGTCCTGCCACCTCCCCCGAAGCTCAGAAGCAACAGCTGCAAAGATAGCATGTACATACATGAGCACCTGCTAAGGTAACTGACAGAGCTATCCACCAAAGAGACTAAATTTTACATGCATCAGGAATCATTTCTAAGATCTTCTCATATCTCTCCTCAGATGAAAGTAAATTTTGGTTCGAAAGCAGTTTTGCCTCAAAGAAACCCTTCAGAACTTCAGTATAGGATCTCCTGCAAAGTCAGAACGCCTAAGTGGAGGAGACAGTAGGTCCAGAATAAGGAAATTAAAACAGACATACAGTATCACTTACGCAAGGAAAGGATGAAGAACAGGACCTGGTAAAGATATCTTTTTGTTACTATTTTCATTGCCCTGAAGAAAGTACAAAGTCAATTGTTTCTTGGTATTAAAAATCTAAGCAAAATTCAAATGCATTTCAGAGCACTGTTTAAACACCTTGTATACACGGAAATAATCAGCAATAGCTGCCCTCTGTTCATTAGTCAACCTGCAGAAGTGATGACAGTCAAATTCAGATCTTCATGTAAGAATACAGGTAAGGATATAACAGAAATTATATGATGGTTTTAACTGTTTACTGCATTACCTTCTGGCTTTTCCATCACAAACCCAGCAGTGCACACCACGTCGACCACTATATACCCAGAGAATATGATTAAAGCCAAAGTCATCTGCTTAGAAGTTAATTGGTGATGTAAGAAGAAGACATTATACATATCATGTGAACTCAGGCAAAAACATATGCCAACATTGTAATGCAAGCATGTTATGTACGACAGCTAAGCACTCAAAGGTAAAGAATTAGAAGAGTCTGGGATCTAGGCCAGCTAAGAACTCAAAGCATGATAGCATACTATTCTAGAACATTGTACCTCTGAGAGCAGTATCAATCACTTTAATTGCAACTGTCATTAGAGGCCAACATTCCAAGCAAACATCGGCTCCAGTGCAGCAATATCTAACATCATCATAATCTGTTATATCCTGGGGCAACAAAAAACGTAACTCCAACAAATCAAATAACATAGCCATTATATTCGTGTACTCAGTATGAAAAGTAGACTACGATGCTCATTTTGTATAAGTTGAGTGGCTTACAATATCAAAAACAAGTTCCCTCTCAACTGGAGTGAAAACATTGTCACCACTTTGCGTATAGGCATGCCTCTTAGCAGGCTGCATTGTAGATAATACATCAATAACTAATGAAACAGAAAACATTTATATTTTCAACCGAGAGGTCAGGAAAATATCAGCAGTTGTAACTCATGGCTCATCAAAAGTTGGTTCAAAGACTGCATAATAAGAAGAAAATAGAATGAAATCTTACATCAACACTGTAGACAGGCCCAATATCTATCTTTAATGGACACTTTTCTTTGATGGAATGTTCCAGTTCAGAAACACTGTTGAAAGACTGGAACCGAATATAAATGTCATTTTCTAGCGTGAAGGAAAATTCTCTTCTTCCGAAGTAGGACTTGTCACAAGCAGGATGCTTTCCATCTGCAGATACATCAATCATTGATACGCAGAAAAACATGAACACATGCAAACAAGCGCGCGTGCATATACACGAAAAGGAGGAAGAGATTTGGATTACCATTCCCGTAAGACATCCACTTAAAGATATCAGCATGAGGAAATAACTTTCCTGCCAGAAAATTAGTTTCAAATTTCATCACAACCGTCAGATAAAAGAAAAAATCCATTATTGAAATAATAAATTTCTTTCTACAAAAAAAGTGATATGAGAAATATGAGAATTCTTACCATAGTAGATTCTGAGATAGTTAGCGTTGAATCCATCAGGAAGGGCGTTTGTTTCCTCGGGTCCATCAATCAGCATGTCATCTCTTTCATTTTCTGCTTCCTCTTTCGTCATCTTCGCTTCAAAAATCTTTCTCTCTATCAATGGAAGCCTTTTTTCCGTTGAATAGCAGAGTTTAAGATCAGAGAGTGGGGATAGAAAGAGAGTGGGATGGCGGGAAACAAAAGAAGATTAGGTTAACGAGTACATTATTTGGCGGGAAATTTTGGACCTGAAGATTTGGCCTGTTAAACATAATTTAGCCCAAACGCAAGCCTTGTCTTTTGTACGCCGCCGTTTTGACTTTCACTTTGTCCGTCCAAAATCCTTGGACCTAAAAACCAAAATTCCTGTCAACAATCACCGTGAAACCGGAAAGCACGAATAATCAAATACTACCCAATTAATTATATATATATATATATATATACACACACACACATACACACACGCTGTCTCTTTTTCTACCTTTCCGCGAAAATAATTAATAATCAATAATTCCAGCAGATGAGATGAGAAAGAAGCAATCCGGACCTTTGGCTTGTGAACCTGGCCGATGGCGTTTCGTTTCGGACCTTTCTAGGACTTCCTGATAACGATACCCGAACCCGCTAAATTCCCATCGGCTTGTTGACCGGTTTTTTCACCTTTCTTCCCCTGGTTTAGGGATTCTGCTACGGTTACCTCGATGGTGACCAATGATTATATCACCATGAACGGGAACGGGTTTAGTAAGATGGAAGAAGAATTCATCAAGAGGCACCACAAACACGACGTTAAAGAAAATCAGTGCAGCTCTTCGCTCGTTAAACACATCAAAGCTCCTGTTCATCTCGTATTTTTTTTCCTTTAATAATTTCAATATCATTTACTTTTTTTAGTAGAATTGATTGGGTTCGTATTTGGTAGATCTTGGAGCATTTTTGTTTATTTCAATAATATTCCCTTTTAGACACATATTTGAAGTAGCTTAGCTTGATTTTCTGGCGACTTTCTATTATTGGAAAATTTTTGCCTTTATTTTTTTATTGCTTGTGGTTTGAATATATGACGAGATCGAAATCAAAGTGGGGATTGATTAGAGTTGTTAAGTTATCACTAAAAATTTAGGTTGAATTATTGGCTCGTTTGAAATGATATCCGATGTTGAACATTCTGTGAATCAATTGAAGTTATTGGCAATGAATGTTAGGGCATTCAAACACGACTTTCAGCTATTTGTATCGTGTGTTTTAAGAGGTGCAATGTAAAACATTGCCAACTTTTCATCGAGGATTGATTAATAGCTGTAAAATGGTGTGTTCTTGCATAATTGCTTACCGTTTCTTTGTTTGAATAGAAATGGAACAGAATATTTTCTTTAAACTTGGATTTGGATCAAGTGTTGAAATGACACTAGGGGTTCTTATATCTTATCTTCAAATACTGATAAATTTCCCATTGAATGAGTTTAATTTGATATCACATACCCAATCTAAACATTGTGCAATTACAAATAAAATTGCTTTCAGCTTAAGCTTGAGGTTTTAGTTTGCTTTAATTGAAGTCAAACATGAGGTGTTTTCTGCCTTGATGAATGATTATTGGTTTTTGATCAATCAGGTTTGGTCTTTGGTGAGGAGATTTGATCAACCACAGAAGTATAAGCCATTTGTTAGCAGGTGTGTTGTGCAGGGTGATCTTCAGATTGGAAGCATTAGAGAAGTCAATGTTAAGTCAGGTTTGCCAGCCACAACTAGCACTGAAAGGTTAGAGTATCTAGATGACAATGAGCATATTTTGAGCATGACTATTGTTGGAGGAGATCACAGGTTGAAGGTATGAATTTTCTACTTGGTTGATTTAGTTCCACACTACGCATGCAACTTTAAATGCATGCTCGTTGAATTCCAATAAATTTTTAGTTTTTCAACATATAATCTTGACTAAAATATAAGTATTCATCTTAGTAATTTTTGTTGTCTCTTATTATATGATAATTTTCTGTTAGATTATGTAACACATACATTACCTGAAAATGTAATAAGGTTTTGGATGCGGTGGATGCAACTTGCAATGTGGAGGACTGAACGCTAACTTATGTTACCAGTCATTGGGATAAGACTCTGTGGATTGAGTATGAATTGTCAAAATCATTGTTTAAATGGTCAAATCTATCAAGTCTTTTTGAAGATTTTTTCATGTTTGAGATGGAGCATAGCTTTACAACACTGGAAATTGGAGTTGTGAAACTAGAATGTAAGGAGATATATATCCCTATAAATTGACTTGTGAAATCTATGATGCCTCAAATTGGCTGGTGGCAATGTGCTTTATGACTGCACTCTGTCTAGAGCAATTTCCTTTTCCTCTATCCCAATTATTTATGTTTTCTTATGCTGCTAGCACATTTAACCTGGACCTTATCATGCTGCAAATGCCAGCGATTTCCTGGTTTGTTTGCATGTAACGTATCCTTTATAATAGAATATTTTTAGTTTACACATGCAGGCAAACAATGTTGTTTATCATATTGTTTAAGATGTGTTAATTTTCAGTTCTAAGATGCATTATTTTAATCCTCCCTCTTTTCTTTTAATAACTGTTTTTTTAATGAATGCTATTGTACCAATTCTGCATTGACCTTTCTCACGGGGGTTGAGTTTTTATTTTTATAATGTATACTGTACTTTTGTGGTGATCTAACTCGCTGAAACTGCAATATTGTCCTTATGCCATGCAAATTTGCAGAACTACTCTTCCATTGTTACAGTCCATCCCAAGGTCATTGATGGCAGACCGGGAACTTTGGTGATTGAGTCATTTGTGGTGGATGTACCAGATGGTAACACCAAGGATGAAACATGCTACTTTGTTGAGGCAGTGATCAAGTGCAACCTCAAGTCATTGGCTGATGTTTCAGAGCGTTTGGCTGTTCAAGATCATACTGAGCTGATTGAAAGAATGTGAATAATCTGAATCGCTGTTAGCAGCATCAAGATTCTTGTTGTGGGTGATAAGTGAGATACTCTTGTTATTAGAAAGAAGCCGTGTAGACAGTTTGGGCTCCCTGCAGGCAGAGTCACTTCTCTTTTGTTATACTTTATGCTTCTTTTTGGTAGAACATGATCTATAGGTGCCACTTGTCGATAGTAGCTAACAATTAAAACTCCATCCGCAGCCTACAGTTTTCCTAAATGAAGAAACAAATCAAAAATTTCTTGTGGTTTTTGGTTGTAAATATCTGTGCACGATAGAAATTTTATGTTTATATCTTTAGTTTTGCATGTTCCATTTGCAGAAAAGCCATGGATATACGGTTTGTTGGTACATGATGTGAATCTACTCGTCTAACTAGTTATTTATACTGTAATTTGAAGAGGGGTTGAAGAAATATCTCTATTATGGCCTTTAAAGCACTTCCCCTTTGTCCAAACTCTAATTTGAAGAGGGGCCAAATCTATTTTCCTTATTAATTAAATGAAACTAAAGGAATGAAGTTTAAGGGGAAAAAAACCCAATGATGCGTAGCTATATTACAGTAGAGAAATTTTGCTTGATTTAGGGTTAGGGGTGTTAAGTAACATGACAGGAATGAACAAAGGAAAGACGTATATTTGTAGTTTATTTGTTTATTTTTAAAATTATTTAAAATCAATTTGTGTTCGATAAAAAAGTTGGTTTATTTCGTTCGAATTTGATTCATTCAAATTGTAAAATATTCACATTTTTTTTGGTTTGTTTAAATTAAACAAATTTTATGAATTTGTTCAAAAATATTAAACAAACATGTTTATAAAAATATACATAAATATGTTCATAAATAATAAATAAATTATATTTAAATAAATTTTTTAAAAAATAAAATTACTAAATAAACAAATAATAAAACAATAAAATAAACTCTAAAAATTCTGTTAGATTAAGAATCAATTTGGATTTCATCATATCTCTAGTGCAATGAAATTTAACACTCACTGAAAATCAACTGAGCTGGCCACCCGTTTAGATGTTCTGATTGTAGTGCGGGAACTACTTCTCATCGTGCCAAGACCTAGAGATCCACAAAAGGGGAAATCCACCAGTGGCTAACTGATATTGATTTTTTTCAGTTCTACCCTTAAACCATGAGAATTTTATAAAGGTCAATGACCTAATTCATTAAATATATATATTTTTTATTTACGCATGTAAGTCTATAAAGATTTGAAGATTTTAGTGATTAGAAGGTTCATTGTTTTTATTTTTTATTTTGATTTTTATTTACATTTATGAAATAATTTTATTATTATTTAATTTAATATAATAAATAATTTTTATTATAATAAACTAATAAATAAACAAACTAATAAATAATAAATTATTACACAATAAATAAATAAATTTTAATATCATATAAATATTTTTTGATATTATTTTATTTATTAACAATACCTACATATAATAATAGAATAAAGAAAAATTTTTGATATATTAATATTATTTTTATTAATTTTTAATCATTTATTAATAAAATTATTATTTAACATAAAGATAAAATTGAAATTATTTATTAATTTATAAATATTAAATGAATTTTAAATTAATATTTTTAATAATCATTTCTTCTCTCATTATAATTTAATTCATGATCAATATTAAATTTACATCTAAACACATTTTTATCACTAATTTTAATTTTATTTTTACCGTTATTTTCAATTTTATCATTACATATCTGAACGTCCATTCAAATAAATTCTAAATTGCTATACACTATTTGTAGCTATTGGCACATCGCATTCAGTTCTAGGCACAGGTTCTGCTAAATTTGCCCATTAAATGCAACGAACGCTCCATTTTCAGGAACTGTTATGCAAATAATAAATTATGTACGGCGTGTATTTCATGAGAATTAAATTATCTTTTTCATGGGAATACGGTGGTGCTCATAGACCGATCCAATTTTCACCAGTCAAGAAACAAGGGAGGGAAGATATGAAACATTTGCACCATCAAGCCTTGAGAAGGAGGTTTGATTTCAATCATTTAGAAGGCGAAAATAGTGTAGCATTTGGGCCACCATCAAAAATGCAAAAAGAAAAGAAAGTACGGGTACAATGTAAAACCATTTACAAATAGTAAACCTTTTGAGGCAGTGGAGAATCTGATGAAAAATGAACTCTGTAGCTAAGAGAATCTCCAAAATCTATCGGCCAAAAGCATTGGATGCCCATTTCTTATGTTAGCCTTTTGCCTTTTAAGTAAAGCTGTGAGTGAGAGGGAGAGGGGCAAGGATTCCATAAACAAGATTAGAGAACACAGACAAAAGAAAGGTAACAACAAAAACATACAGCACAGAGTGAGGTGGCATTCTGGAAGTGAATGCCGCCTGCGGCCTTATACCACCGTTTGTTGCGGCCTAATAAAAATAACATAACCCACACTCTCTCTCTATTTTTATTTTTACTAGTATTTGACTGAAAATTAGTTTGTACCAGTATTTTTTTTAGCACGTTATTTTATTATTATAAATCGTTAATGTAAAAAGCAAGCCATTATAAATAAGATATTGCTTGCACAAATCTTATTCACTCATTTCATATACATTTTTTATTTTAAGGATTTAAGTGCAAAGTGTTAAAATTTTTATAAGGTATAATAAATTTTTAAAACTTATATACTATATGAATATGTGCAATGAGTGAATTAGATTAGTGTATATTAACAAATAAATGACTAATTCTAATAATATAGAAATAAAAATATCACTACTAACACTATTTCGTCATAGTTTAATATTATTGTTATGGTTAAAAAAATTTAAATTTTAAAAAATATGTTTAAAAGTTTAAAAAAATGATTTAAAAATTTTAAGTAATTAGCGTTATTGTGAAAAAAAATATTATGGTGAAATGAAATTTTAAAAAATATGTATAAAACAATAAAAAATAAAAAATGTGAAAATAATAAAATTATTTTATCAAAAAAATTGCAGTTAACCATAAACAACTTTTATTTGAATTTGCAAACCAAATTTAAATAAAAAATCGTACATTTTGTCATTTAATATTAAAATTAAATAAAAATAAATTTTAAATGCAAAATTACTTTAATTAAATTAGTCCTTAATGTAAAAAAAAAAAAAAAACTGTGAAGTGTAAATAACAAAGGTCAAAAAGCTCCCGTCTTTAATTAATTGACCATGCATTTATTCTGACGAGCTCCGCCTACCCTCCATTCATTTCTTTTTTGGGGTTAGTTACAATAAGCCTAGAATCTTTGGACGCACTTTCAATCACTCTCACATCCCTGTCCTGTGCCTTTTCTTCTTCCTTCATCCTTGTAATTTCTCACTTCTCTTCTCTACCAATATATTTATTTATTATTTTCGAAAGTCTTTTCTCAGTCTTCACTCTGTTTTTTTTTTTTTTAATTTTTATTTCTTCCCCCCCCCCTTTTTTTTTTAATCTTTTGCTACTATTAATTCTTTGTTCTATCCAACTTTCCTTTTCTTGATTAAAATAACCAGTAGAACCCTTTGGACCTTTCTCCTTGTATCACTTACTCTCCAGATCTACTCCAAATATTTCATCAAAAGCTAATTTTGTTCATTTTCTCTTTGTCAGTCTCCAAATAAACTTCCCTTCCCTTCTCTTTCTTTTAATTTTTTCAAACCGAATGTTTCGAGCATTGGCTTCGATTTTGGTTTGTTGCTTCTTCCTTGAAGCCTCATTTTGGTCTCACATTTGTTATGGGAACTTGATAACCTGCTCAGGGATTGTACCCATGAGGTACAGAAACGATAAGATATCGATAACAGACTTTGGTGGTGTAGGGGACGGTAATACGCTCAATACCAAGGCGTTCCAGGAAGCTATATATCGGATTCAGCATCTGAGACGGAGAGGTGGCACGCTGCTTTATGTGCCTCCTGGGGTCTACTTGACGGATAGCTTTAATCTTACTAGCCATATGACTCTTTATTTGGCTAGAGGTGCTGTTATCAAAGCCACTCAGGTAACTCCATCCTTCTCAGTAGTTACTAATACTTACTTATCATTGGTAGTATAATTTTGTATGTAAATATACAATGAAAAATCACTCTCTTTTTCCCTTTAACAATGGAAAATACTGCCTTTCAACTTAGAATCTGAATGCCACTCCAATCCCATCCTTCTACGGCTAAAAGTTGGTACATTTTTTACTCAAAACATTAGTTTTATACTTATGATAGAAAATGGAAGTGAGTTGAAAAGCACTACACCATTATTTTCTAAAATGGTAATGAAAGCTGGAATTTGGGTTTTAATGAACATTAGTTTTACCCTATTTTTGCTTTTTTTTTTTTTGTTGAAAGATTTGGATTTTGGTTGCATGTAGTTTTACAAGAGAATATTGTAATTTGTACGATATGGTTGGAATGTCAATTTTAATATGACATTGTTTGGCTCCGCCATGGTGGTGGATGTTGGCGTAGAAGGTTTGGGTGAAGATGTCTGTGAGAACCATGGGGTCCAGGCGTTATAAAGAAAAGACAAAAACATTGTAGGTCCCCGTAATATGGTCGCATGTGCATGACATTCATGGAGTTTTTTCATTCAACAATTTGGACAGACAGATAGCTGGCAAGCATTGTTGTCCAACTTGGTGCTATATCTAGATTAATATAATGCTGTCCTGTTTCAGTGTTAGTATTATTATCTAAATAATAAAAATGTACTTTTCCAGTCCTTAATTAATATTGGATGATTTTACAAAACCTTTAAGTAATTAAATACTGTTGAAGTTAAAAAAGTGGTTATTATCATACTTAGGTTGTGTTTAACTGTTTTATTAAAAAAAAAAAAGTTTTTGACTGTTATCTTCTGATCACCAGAGAACCATGTTCCCCTGTTTAGTTCTTAGAAAGCCTTTTATACTTCACGTCCACTGAATGTGGTCATGTACTTCTAATTGAGTTATACATTGCGGAAAACTAATAGTAACAGATAAATGTTACTAAATGTTGGGATCATGGTTCACTATATGTTCTCGAAGAGATGGAATTGAACTTAATTTTCTGAAGATTAGGTTGTGCTATGATTAACTAGTGGACTAGTTTATGGGAGAAAAGATTTTTGTTGTGGATGGTTCTGCTTGCCTTTTGGTAAACCACCATTTGATTTTCACATAAGAGAAATAAAAAATCGATGTCTTATATGTTTGAGATTCACAAATTCAACCTCATAGGAATAAAGAATTAAGCTTTTGGTTGGTTAATTGAGTTAAGCATATATAGTAGCTACACATGCCTAGTTTTTTGTTCCCCTTGGCATATCTGGATATGTCTATATCTTTTGAAATAACATAAATTTATTTCTTATTGCCTCCCTTGGCCACAAAGATGTTAGCCTCTCAAAGAGATCAATAATTCTACCCTGTTGAGGCATTTCTTGTAATTTTTAAAGTTTCAAAAACTCTATTGCACCAAATCTAGCAAATTCTGTTGTTGCACTCCTATCCTCTTCATATGATATGATTTGCTGGATATGCTTCTTATAATTTTCTTCCTGGATTAATATATCAGGACACTTGGAATTGGCCTTTAATTGCTCCTTTGCCATCTTATGGAAGGGGAAGGGA